GAGACCTGCAAAAATGGAGGCTCTAGCCCCTTCCAGAGCTGAGATATCGAAACTCAAAAATTCGGCCCGAAAAAAAAAAACGACAGTGGTACCCCTTACGTTTTTTTTTTGGGCGAAAAATTAAGTTTCTCCAATCTTCCCAAAACTCTGGATTCTGATAGAGGGCCATGAGACTTAGACCTGAGTGCAAAAATGGAGGCTCTAGCCCCTTCCAGAGCTGAGATATCGAAACTCAAAAATTCGGCCCGAAAAAAAAACGACAGTGGTACCCCTTACGTTTTTTTTTTCGGGCGAAAAATTAAGTTTCTCCAATCTTCCCAAAACTCTGGATTCTGATAGAGGGCCATGAGACTTAGACCTGAGTGCAAAAATGGAGGCTCTAGCCCCTTCCAGAGCTGAGATATCGAAACTCAAAAATTCAGCCCGAAAAAAAAACGACAGTGGTACCCCTTACGTTTTTTTTTCAGGGCGAAAAATTAAGTTTCTCCAATCTTCCCAAAACTCTGGATTCTGATAGAGGGCCATGAGACTTAGACCTGAGTGCAAAAATGGAGGCTCTAGCCCTTCCAGAGCTGAGATATCGAAACTCAAAAATTCGGCCCGAAAAAAAAACGACAGTGGTACCCCTTACGTTTTTTTTTTCGGGCGAAAAATTAAGTTTCTCCAATCTTCCCAAAACTCTGGATTCTGATAGAGGGCCATGAGACTTAGACCTGAGTGCAAAAATGGAGGCTCTAGCCCCTTCCAGAGCTGAGATATCGAAACTCAAAAATTCAGCCCGAAAAAAAAAACGACAGTGGTACCCCTTACGTTTTTTTTTTTGGGCGAAAAATTAAGTTTCTCCAATCTTCCCAAAACTCTGGATTCTGATAGAGGGCCATGAGACTTAGACCTGAGTGCAAAAATGGAGGCTCTAGCCCCTTCCAGAGCTGAGATATCGAAACTCAAAAATTCGGCCCGAAAAAAAAAACGACAGTGGTACCCCTTACGTTTTTTTTTTTTCGGCGAAAAATTAAGTTTCTCCAATCTTCCAAAACTCTGGATTCTGATAGAGGGCCATGAGACTTAGACCTGAGTGCAAAAATGGAGGCTCTAGCCCCTTCCAGAGCTGAGATATCGAAACTCAAAAATTCGGCCCGAAAAAAAAACGACAGTGGTACCCCTTACGTTTTTTTTTTGGGCGAAAAATTAAGTTTCTCCAATCTTCCCAAAACTCTGGATTCTGATAGAGGGCCATGAGACTTAGACCTGAGTGCAAAAATGGAGGCTCTAGCCCCTTCCAGAGCTGAGATATCGAAACTCAAAAATTCGGCCCGAAAAAAAAACGACAGTGGTACCCCTTACGTTTTTTTTTTTTGGGCGAAAAATTAAGTTTCTCCAATCTTCCCAAAACTCTGGATTCTGATAGAGGGCCATGAGACTTAGACCTGAGTGCAAAAATGGAGGCTCTAGCCCCTTCCAGAGCTGAGATATCGAAACTCAAAAATTCGGCCCGAAAAAAAAAACGACAGTGGTACCCCTTACGTTTTTTTTTTGGGCGAAAAATTAAGTTTCTCCAATCTTCCCAAAACTCTGGATTCTGATAGAGGGCCATGAGACTTAGACCTGAGTGCAAAAATGGAGGCTCTAGCCCCTTCCAGAGCTGAGATATCGAAACTCAAAAATTCGGCCCGAAAAAAAAAACGACAGTGGTACCCCTTACGTTTTTTTTTTTGGGCGAAAAATTAAGTTTCTCCAATCTTCCCAAAACTCTGGATTCTGATAGAGGGCCATGAGACTTAGACCTGAGTGCAAAAATGGAGGCTCTAGCCCCTTCCAGAGCTGAGATATCGAAACTCAAAAATTCGGCCCGAAAAAAAAACGACAGTGGTACCCCTTACGTTTTTTTTTTTGGGCGAAAAATTAAGTTTCTCCAATCTTCCCAAAACTCTGGATTCTGATAGAGGGCCATGAGACTTAGACCTGAGTGCAAAAATGGAGGCTCTAGCCCCTTCCAGAGCTGAGATATCGAAACTCAAAAATTCGGCCCGAAAAAAAAACGACAGTGGTACCCCTTACGTTTTTTTTTTTGGGCGAAAAATTAAGTTTCTCCAATCTTCCCAAAACTCTGGATTCTGATAGAGGGCCATGAGACTTAGACCTGAGTGCAAAAATGGAGGCTCTAGCCCCTTCCAGAGCTGAGATATCGAAACTCAAAAATTCGGCCCGAAAAAAAAACGACAGTGGTACCCCTTACGTTTTTTTTTTGGGCGAAAAATTAAGTTTCTCCAATCTTCCCAAAACTCTGGATTCTGATAGAGGGCCATGAGACTTAGACCTGAGTGCAAAAATGGAGGCTCTAGCCCCTTCCAGAGCTGAGATATCGAAACTCAAAAATTCGGCCCGAAAAAAAAACGACAGTGGTACCCCTTACGTTTTTTTTTTTGGGCGAAAAATTAAGTTTCTCCAATCTTCCCAAAACTCTGGATTCTGATAGAGGGCCATGAGACTTAGACCTGAGTGCAAAAATGGAGGCTCTAGCCCCTTCCAGAGCTGAGATATCGAAACTCAAAAATTCGGCCCGAAAAAAAAAACGACAGTGGTACCCCTTACGTTTTTTTTTTGGGCGAAAAATTAAGTTTCTCCAATCTTCCCAAAACTCTGGATTCTGATAGAGGGCCATGAGACTTAGACCTGAGTGCAAAAATGGAGGCTCTAGCCCCTTCCAGAGCTGAGATATCGAAACTCAAAAATTCGGCCCGAAAAAAAAAACGACAGTGGTACCCCTTACGTTTTTTTTTTTTGGGCGAAAAATTAAGTTTCTCCAATCTTCCCAAAACTCTGGATTCTGATAGAGGGCCATGAGACTTAGACCTGAGTGCAAAAATGGAGGCTCTAGCCCCTTCCAGAGCTGAGATATCGAAACTCAAAAATTCGGCCCGAAAAAAAAACGACAGTGGTACCCCTTACGTTTTTTTTTTTTGGGCGAAAAATTAAGTTTCTCCAATCTTCCCAAAACTCTGGATTCTGATAGAGGGCCATGAGACTTAGACCTGAGTGCAAAAATGGAGGCTCTAGCCCCTTCCAGAGCTGAGATATCGAAACTCAAAAATTCGGCCCGAAAAAAAAAACGACAGTGGTACCCCTTACGTTTTTTTTTTTGGGCGAAAAATTAAGTTTCTCCAATCTTCCCAAAACTCTGGATTCTGATAGAGGGCCATGAGACTTAGACCTGAGTGCAAAAATGGAGGCTCTAGCCCCTTCCAGAGCTGAGATATCGAAACTCAAAAATTCGGCCCGAAAAAAAAAACGACAGTGGTACCCCTTACGTTTTTTTTTTTGGGCGAAAAATTAAGTTTCTCCAATCTTCCCAAAACTCTGGATTCTGATAGAGGGCCATGAGACTTAGACCTGAGTGCAAAAATGGAGGCTCTAGCCCCTTCCAGAGCTGAGATATCGAAACTCAAAAATTCGGCCCGAAAAAAAAACGACAGTGGTACCCCTTACGTTTTTTTTTTTGGGCGAAAAATTAAGTTTCTCCAATCTTCCCAAAACTCTGGATTCTGATAGAGGGCCATGAGACTTAGACCTGAGTGCAAAAATGGAGGCTCTAGCCCCTTCCAGAGCTGAGATATCGAAACTCAAAAATTCGGCCCGAAAAAAAAACGACAGTGGTACCCCTTACGTTTTTTTTTTTTGGGCGAAAAATTAAGTTTCTCCAATCTTCCCAAAACTCTGGATTCTGATAGAGGGCCATGAGACTTAGACCTGAGTGCAAAAATGGAGGCTCTAGCCCCTTCCAGAGCTGAGATATCGAAACTCAAAAATTCGGCCCGAAAAAAAAACGACAGTGGTACCCCTTACGTTTTTTTTTTGGGCGAAAAATTAAGTTTCTCCAATCTTCCCAAAACTCTGGATTCTGATAGAGGGCCATGAGACTTAGACCTGAGTGCAAAAATGGAGGCTCTAGCCCCTTCCAGAGCTGAGATATCGAAACTCAAAAATTCGGCCCGAAAAAAAAAACGACAGTGGTACCCCTTACGTTTTTTTTTTTGGGCGAAAAATTAAGTTTCTCCAATCTTCCCAAAACTCTGGATTCTGATAGAGGGCCATGAGACTTAGACCTGAGTGCAAAAATGGAGGCTCTAGCCCCTTCCAGAGCTGAGATATCGAAACTCAAAAATTCGGCCCGAAAAAAAAACGACAGTGGTACCCCTTACGTTTTTTTTTTTGGGCGAAAAATTAAGTTTCTCCAATCTTCCCAAAACTCTGGATTCTGATAGAGGGCCATGAGACTTAGACCTGAGTGCAAAAATGGAGGCTCTAGCCCCTTCCAGAGCTGAGATATCGAAACTCAAAAATTCGGCCCGAAAAAAAAACGACAGTGGTACCCCTTACGTTTTTTTTTTTGGGCGAAAAATTAAGTT